TGTGTGTGTGTGTGTGTGTGTACTTGTTTATGCTACATTGTGGGGGATAGTAAAACCTAAAATTTTTATCTGAAAGTGTAACAATGCAAACAGGTTTTCTGTAAGGGGTAGGTTTAGGGTTAGGGAATAGAAAATATCGTTTGGGCAGTATAAAAACAATAGAAGTCTATGGAAAGTCCCCACAATTCACAGAAACAAACGTGTGTGTGTGTGTGTGGTGTGTAAGGCCTCAAACAAAGTATAGGTTTTGTAGGCATTAGAATGGTGTACCTCTTATTACATTTCACTTCTCAGATCCCAATTAATATCCACTGTATGGGTTACAAAATATAGCACCTATAATGAAGGGAGAGGTGAGGAGACTCTTTGTAATACTCTGATGGCTCACTGCACCACTGGACAGGATTATCTGAAGGCTACTTAAAGAGACACACACACACACTAATGGACACGTATGACCTGAAGCTCTGGGATCCTTATTACATAAGACTCCCTCAAGACATTGCACGTGGACACACACCTGGCCGTGAGTGTGTGTGTGTGTGTGTGGCCTGTCAGTTGTCTATGACAGCGAGAGGTCTAATTGGAGGTCTTTAGGCCAGAAGTTTGACCGCTGGATCATCATGAGACTGAGAAGCATGATTGCTGAGGAGTTTGCTGTGGTTTATTTATAGGCTCTGCATCAGCAGCAGTCACAATGCTGCAAATGAAGCCCTTCAGAGAGAGAGATGCATGTGACAAGTGAGGATGGACTACAGCGGTCCAGTGAGGTCTATATTCAATCAGACGTGAATTTTACCCTCATCTGCACACGGATCCACGGAGCAAACCGCGCAGCAACAGCTCTCAGAGGCTGGAAGAAAGAAGCAGCAGCAGTGAAATCGAGAAATAAGGATGCTCTCTTACAGATGTAGTGTGTGGGTGTGAAGCTGTCTGTCGCACATCAGCTGGTTTGTCACTGGTTTTCAACTATTGAGCACCGAGAAAAAGCGTGGCGTTCGGTTGCAATGTCAGTGCAGGAGTTTGTGTTTGGCAGGATAATTCTCACACAATAAGAAGAGATTTGGATTGTGGGAATGAACTCTCCTGCACTAATAAATACATATCGACTTCAAGGCTTTATCTAAAATACAGTCTGAACTCATAAGGTGAGTAACACTGTCTGCGGTTTATATAACTGTTTTGCCTGCAGATCTATCCTTTAACCCTTGCAAGTTCATCATGGTCTTGCTGTCTTTAAATGAACTCGAATTAAAAATTCGATTCTAAAGTTGTGCATGTTTGAACCTGCATGTGTTTATGTGTGTGTTTGTGTGTATGTTCTGGCTTCTTGTTCTTTATATAAATTGCATGCAGCTCCATCTAGGCCAGCCCACGCGCTCCTCTGGTTGCCATAGCAACTGTCGGGGGTTTATAAGGGGTAGAGGATGCGAGAGAAACTCATCTTTACACTCGGCTTTTTTACAACTCTTCAGCACAGGATGAGCAAATGCATCCGCAAGAAATAGTAGCATAACAGTTATTATATTTTATTTATTATATATTACATTTATTTATAAACCACATCAACTGCACAAACAGATAACAAAACAATTCAAAAGTGAAATGTTCTAAAATTCCATTCTTTTCTTTTTCTTTTTTATGTATTTAATAGCCAAATTGCGCTCAAAATATGATCTTTCGCGCGCAGAATTGTGGCAGAAATGTAAGCCCATAAATTCCTAACCAGAGAAGTGGATGTTGCTATGGAAATGGAAATTACAGCAAAGCCTGCCTACAGTACCTACACTCTGTAATACACGCTTATTTTTATAGTCTAATACACAATATTTGTGTAGTTATAATCAGTGTCTCATCAGTATGTTGTATACTGTTTTTTAATTAAATTTTAATTTAAAGAATACAAAGAAGTGTACAGTTTTGTCGTAGACTTATACCATATCCGTAAATGCAATTGTGTTATCTTTTTACCCGTTGTTAAGTATATCCTGTAACAAGGATTCTCAAACATACCAACAAAATAACGATGAAACCTCTTTCAAAAACTCGATAAAACAGTTTTGAAAGTTGTGAGTTGTGAAAATTAGTGCATGCATTGCCACTGCCATAGGTCTATCCCTCACAGCCTCGTTTTCATCCGTGTTAAATTCCAAAATGGCTTCTAACCTGGGGCAAGTTCAAGCTCAAACCGGTGCATAACGTTTTGCTACGGTTTCCGGTTTGAACGACATGTTTCCTGGAAACGGGGTTTGAGATGAGTTTTCTCTTGTTTGGTGGGTGTGTCAAGCATGTCAGCCCAATCAGCAGCAACATGTATATAAACCACGCGGTATTAAAGAGACAGCTCGCACAATGTAATTAACATCAAAATAAATTCACAAGAGCAAGTATATTGTTTGCACATGTTTATTTACATTAAAGGCAAAATAACTAAAATAATAAGAGCACAAGTATAGATCTGGAACTTCTTTAAGTCTGTCTAAATATCATTTATTCTGGAGGGCAAGGGCAATGACTGTACCATCGAGCGTATTTTGCCGTATTAAACACGTATTTATATCGATTTCATCAGGCTCCGAAAATTCTTCAAAAAGAACTCAAAGAATGGCCTTCTCAGCTGCCATAGTTGCAACTCTTGCGTCATCAGAACAGTGTGTTCAACGCACCACCATTTCCGTTTAAAAAACGTTTTGCACCATTTTGTCGGGGCTGAACACAGCCCTGATTAAAGTCTGCGTGAAGTTGCTTTGGCTGCATCCGAAAACTATTTTTTTTATCAGGCATTGACTTTGCAATCAGCGTTTTTGCACGAAGGCACCTCATGAAACTGATTTGCTGATCTGATGAAACTGACAGGCTTCTGAGGCAGCTTAAAGGTTTAATGATTTACAACAAAATAGAATGAGTTTTGGTGATAAACGAAACGAATATTTAATTACTATAATAGGCCTACTTATTTCTCACTAGAAATAACATTAAAAAATGCAAAAAGTTAGTCAGAAATCTTCATTTACACAAAAAAACTGACTACCAGATGCAACTTTCAGACGCCATCTTTAATTTTTTAGCTCAACCATCATGGAATGGAGCGCACAGGATTGTGGGATATCAAAGGCAGCGAGATGCCTCATTAGCAACTGTTTCTATGGGCTGCTATACGTAAGCCATCCGCCATCTTGTAATGGTCAACTTGACGTCATTCACCATAGTAACCAATGAATATTTGAAGATGCCACAATCCTGCACAGCTGATGGTCTGTGAACGCATGGTGAATGACGTCAAGTTGACCATTCCAAGATGGCGGATGCGTCTATACTTGCTTGGAGCGGTCGAATGGGACATTTATACATATCTATGAGTGTTGCCACCTTGTGGAACAACTGATTAGTCCAAAACAAAGTCTGCGCATATATACTATTCTGGTGGTGTGTGCACAGTATGTTCATATTATTCTGGTGACAGAATTTGCATCACGTGCACTGTACGCATAAAAAACTATGTATACTTTGGGCTTTACACAGAAAAACAAATGAAAAAAATAAATAAATAAATTGTATTCTTTCTCTTCCAGCCATGGCTCTAAGGCCCACCCTCATCGTCATTCTATTTCTGATTGGCTGCTGCGCTCTTGAGGACCCGCCCATGGTTAAGGCCCCGCCCCCTCCTCATGGGTGTGGCGCTACATTGGACCCGCCCTACAGAGTTTTGTGCGATCTGGAGTCCGTGTGGGGTGTGGTGCTGGAGGCCATAGCGTGCGGCGGTACCATATCTGCTCTGATCCTGGCCATAGTTCTTTTAGCCAAGCTGAAAACGGTAACGGAACCGGAGAAGCGCTGTGGTGTCGGTCCCCTCCTCCTCCTATTGGCTGGAACCATGGGTCTCTTCAGCCTATCACTGGTGTTCTTGGTGGGGCGTGGTGAGGTGCTCTGCATGGTGCGCCGCGGGCTGTGGGGGGTGCTGTTCACCATGTGTTTCTCCTGTTTGCTGGTGCAGGGAGTGCGGCTGAAGAAGCTGGCGGGAGGGAGGCGGAGCCCAGCTGGCAGCTCTCTCGCCGGATTGGCTTTCGTGCTCACTGTGGTTCAAGGCATCATTGCTGGAGAATGGCTGCTGCTTACGGTGGTCCGCGAGGGACATGCAGCCTGCGATTACCTGCCTCTAGACTTTGTGTTGGTGTGTAGCTATGCTCTAGCGTTGTTGCTAGCTGCCAGCATGTTGTCGTTGGCTGTGGTGTTGTGCGGCGGGAGCAACAGAGAGGAGTCGAGCAGGAAGAGTATGAAGTGGAGGTGCAACGCTGTCTGGCTTTTCCTCTCATGTCTGTCCTCGCTTCTGCTCTGGGTCGCCTGGCTCGGTCTCTATCTGTACGGAGACGCCGCCATCACGACCGTGGCGAAGGATTGGGATGAGCCGGCATTAGCGGTTGCGTTGGTGACCGAGGGTTGGGTGCTTCTGTTATTTCACGCAATCCCAGAAACGCACATGTGCTTGCGTCCGTCCAGTCAGAGGAACGCAGACACCGGCCAGAACTACTACGACACCCCACAGCCGCCAACGGCACAAAGTTACCATGACGACGAGCGGCCGACCAATCCCAGAGCTCCGTTCGCAGAGAGTCAGGCGTACACCGTAGAGGAGCACAGTGCGGGTAGGATGCCACACAAAAAAACATGTGCAAGGATAGTTTACAGTTCTGAAAATTAAACCTAAAAATAACCATTAGAGAACGTTCTGTGTAGGTTATCTTTAGGTTGTTACAAAAACCCTTCTGCAAAAGGTTACTTTATGGTTATAAAAAAGCCTAAAAATAATCATTAGAGAACATTCTGTAAACGTACCTAGGTTCTATTTGGGTTGTTACAAAAATACTAAAAAATAGCTTTTAGCAATCATTATGTGTAGGTTCTTTTTAGGTTTACACAAACACACACACACACACACACACACAATTGCCTGCAACATTCTGGAAAGGTTAGCTGATGGTTATAAAAACGTTTCTAAAACGTTATTATTTGGTTCTGCCAAAAAGAGCCCTTTGAGAACATTAGGAAAATGTTCTTTGTTTGCTGAGGCGAAACATACAAAACTTCTGAAGCTTTTCAAAATCATTTAATTGCACACGTTTAAAAATATATAGATTTTTTTTCATATTTATTCTATTTAGCCAGATTAGAGTTATTATACACAGATTTTCAAATAGTTTTTCTTTTGTAATATATTGTATATATTGTCTTGTTTTTTGCAGTTCTGCAGACTGGTTATCATAACGGATTGATACGTCCCGCTGTGCCGTTCCGCAGTCACGTTTACCAGCCCACCGAGATGGCCCTGCTCATGAACGCAGGACCGGTCAGTAACAATACTACACATTAACAATACTTTAATGCCTAAGTCTCACAAACAATTCACCTCACGCTTTATGTTCCAGATCCCAACCGCCCCTCCAAACTTCACAGGGAGGCATCTGTGGTGAGAGCGGTTACCATGGCAACAATGTCCTCTCGGGCCCCTAAAAGGATTGAGTTCGGGTGACTTCACAGGGTCAAAAGGCACTTTATTAAAGTTCCATGTTAATCATTTGAAAATGCTCCTCTAATAAAAGAGCTGATTGAAGTTAATGGACATTTTCAACATGGGAGCAGGCTAATTTTGCACGTGTTCTCTATCTCTAAGTGCTTAATACAAAATAAAGGACGTGCTACATATTCGATATCACTCTGGTGATGTCTGTTTAGATTAAATGAATCAGACAAATCATACTGATGAGGACCTGTAAGAATTTACATAAACAGAGATGTGTGAAAGCGAGAGGGAGTGTAAAAATCAACATGAAATGCTGGTAACAGACCCATTTACTTACATAATGTGACGCGTTTCTGAGTGTGAGAGAATAAATGTCATTCGTTCATTTATTCAATGTGAACTGATTGACTGGAGGGAGGAAAAGGCATTTGTGATGTCTGCCAAAAATAAAAAGCATATTATTTCAAAAAAACACGCACAGATAAATTATTCAAAATGTAACCAGAAATGTGTATTAAGGAAGTAAAAAGGGTCAGTTGTTTTCATGCTGAGATTGTGTGAGAGAGATTATTTCATTAATTTCTAGCTTTAGAAAGTCTTCTGCCTGCATTCCACTTTAGATATATAATCAAAATCTCACTTTGAAATGTATTAAACTGTATGTCAGTTGTTTGAATTGTTTTGTATCAAGTTGTTCAATTAGCATCTTCTTTTTAAGCTTTTTTAAATTCGACCTTTTAGCCTAGTTTAGTTTTGATATCACGTTTGATGTTTTTTTCCAAACTTTGCACGCTTGATTGTCAGTCTTTATGATGCAGTTGATGGTATTCATCTATAAACGTGATGCCGTGTTTGATCTTCTAAGGCAATACTGTGTGATAACCGTGTCTGGAAGCTGCAGTCTCACAGAATGAGACATTTTAACAGGGTCGGCTCTTTATTCTGCTCGTGATGTTCAGATCTATTGTACAGAATCGTTGTATTTTTCCCTATAATTGATGTCTATATTTGAAACAAATTCCAATAAACATTCCTACCGTGCTTTCAAAGCGTCTCTTGTCACTCTTTGCATATCGTGTCGTGCGCATGCGCATACTGTTGCCAGGGATGCGTGGCGGCGTTACCAGGGAAGTGACGAGCGACTTTTTCCGGATTAGAGTCGAAAGGAAAGCGTTTCCACGTGTGGCAAACGAGTAAGTAATAAAACAAACATTTAATAATAATAATAATAGAGTGCTTTGAAGGAGTTAAACGAGGAATATTAAACCGCTGCAGCGAAGCGCTCGCTGCGCGTATTTATGCATGTTACCGGCAAATAAGTGTGTTTAGCAAAACAAGTCGATTTAACAATGTTGTTATAATAATGGTTAAGTAAGATTCAAATGTGTTTCACAGATTAATATATATTAAAAGAAGCAACCAAGCTGTCATTGCGCACATACATCCAACTAATGTCATATCTATGTGTTTACTTCTGGACCCAACCAGCCTAGAACTGAATGATGACAATTGCGATTTATACAAGTTACTTATAAATCACTTTATTTCTTATAATTTATGAATGTAAGTTTTCATGAGACTATATGTAAATCACCTGTCTGAAATGTTTACTGTGTTTGCAGGAGGTGAAGGCTGATCCAGAATCAGAAATCAGAGAGAAAAAACAACACAGAAAACCAATGAAAAGATCCTCAAGGATGCAAAAAGCAAGAAGAACATCAAGAGGTTTTTGAGAAGTTGGCTGACTAAAGTTGGCATGGCAGTTGACGGGGCGACCAAGGAGAAGAAGAAAAAGAAAAAAGTAAAGTTGGAGGATGTTCAGGATACAGGAGATGCAAATGTGATGGCGTGTCATGATGTGTCTGTACAGACTGCTGTTACAAAAGAAGAACCTCTGGTCATAAACATCAGAGATGGAGAGAAGCGGGAGAGCGATGCAGCTGAGAAGAAGAAAAAGAAGAAAAAGAAAATGGAGGAAGTGGAAGTAAACAATGCAGCCGTCCAGACTACCGTCAAAACAGAAAGCTCAGATATAAACATCAGTGATGCTCCTGAGAAGACAAAAAAGATGAAAAAGAAGAAGAAAAAGGAGGAAGCAGAACAGATACAAGAGCACGTGATCGTCAGTGAGGATGGAGATCATTTAGTGTCCAAGAAAAAGAAAGCCAAGAAACAAGGGTATGAGGAAGAGGTGGAAGGTATAAAAAAGAAAAAGAAGAAAAAGGAGGTAGAGGTCAAAGAAGAAGAGGCTGATTTAGGACACAGTGTGGAGATGGTAAAAAAGAAGAAAAAGAAGAGAAAAATTGATGATGTGGCCGAGCAAGAGCAAAATGCAGATGGACAGATAAAGAAGAAAAGAAAAAAGCAGAAAGAAGCAGATGCATGTGAAGAGGTAGAGCAAAAGGTGAAGAAAAAGAAGAAGAAATCTTCAGCAGAGGAGGAGCCTGATGAGATCAGCTCAAATAAAAAGCCGGAGAAAAAAAGCAAAAAGCTGAAGAAGAAATTAAAAAGCGTGGATGAAGGTGAGAGTCGTCCTCACGCCAGCGGAGGACAGGAGAGATCATCAGACAAGAAGATGAAGAAGAAAATCAAGGCGAGGACTGATGAGATCCAGGAGGAACCGGCGGGAAAGAAGGGGAGTAAAGACAGAAACAAAACCCCAGAAAAAATTAAAAAGAAAAAAACTAAAGAGGAGCATCATGATGCCGTCGTGACGCGAGCAAATAAAGCTGTGAGTCTTATTGAGTTTATTCTGCTGGGACAAAACCGAGGATCGTGATTGGCTGTTTACAATATGATGTCACTGTGATGATTGATAATTAACCTGACTTTCAGAGTGGATATTACATATGTTTTTAGTTTTTCAGTTTTTTTTTTATATTTTAGTATTATTTATATACTTACAAAAATACGCTTTTTTCCCTCATTTTTTACAAATGTATTTCTGTTTATCTTCAATTTATTTTGATTTCAGTTTTAGAATTACCAAGGCAACTTTTCAAATTTTCACATCAGCTTTTTAAGTTTCAGCAGGGACCAAATCACAAAACTGTCAAGAAAAATTGCAGGTCACAATTCATCCTAAATCAAAATAATAAAAAAAACGTACTCACTTACTTACTCACAAACTTACTTCTCTGTATCTCATTGTGTTCTCTCTCTGCGCTCAGTCTGATGTTGTGTTCGTGTCAGAAAAGCCTGGAAATCAGGATGAAGTTTCTATAGATCAGGTACAGCACCAGCTGATCAATGATACTTTACCACATACTGTACACTGTAAATAAATCATGTTAAAATGTGTTAAAAATATTTTTTTATTCCACAGGCCCGCCGACTCGCCCTACAGAGGGACATTGACAAGGAATCACAGCCGAAGCCGGTCAGTTTCACATCAAAACACTTGCATTTAGTTTATTTTGGTCTTACACTCTTAACAATAAAGGCTTCAGAAGGGAGTTTTTTCAGCAATGCTGTAGAAGAACTGTTCCCCAAAGAACCTTTCAGATAACAGTTTTAAAAAGAAACATTTTTTAAAAATCTAAAGAAACTTTTATGGAATGGAAAGATTTTAAAAGTTCTTCATGGAACCATCAATGCCAATAAAGAACCTTTACTTGTAAGAGTGTAAGAGCATTGCATGTGTGCTGCATGGATAGCGTAATCAGTAATGTGAATGGATTTTGATCTGAATTGTGTTGATCTGTTTGTAGAGTCTTGGCCAGTGGGGCACGGCACAGTTCGACAGCTCTGACAGACAAGCCAAGTTCCTGCGCTTGATGGGCGGGTTTAAAAAGAGCAGCCAGCCCCTCACAGGATTCTCTGGCCAGGCTAACATGGCGCTAGGAAAAGAAAGCCAACAGACTTTGCAGCAAGGCCTTCTGGGAGAGTTTGAGCGCGCACAGAGCCGCCATATGGACTTCAGGAATAAAGGAGTCGGATTGGGGTTCGCGGCGCCGTCCAATAAAAAGTTTGCGATTGATGCTAATGCAAGGAACTCAGTGCGATTCGATGACTGAGAGTTACAGGATAGTTCACTCACAAGTGAACGCTCGGTCATCATTTACTCACCCTCACATCGTTTGCAAACCCATGTGCTGTAATCACATCAGTCAAGCTCCAAAAAGGACAAAACAACCAATAGCCCATAAGAAATCTGTTTGGAATGATGCAAGGGTGAGTAAACGATGACAAAATGTTCATTTCTAGGTGAACTGTTCCTTTAATGTATGAATCAAAGTGGAATTTATTTTGGGAAACTGAGGAGCTCCGAATCACCGACCAAAAAAAGTATTTTACTTTTTTATTTCGCAAGTTTCCTTGAAATCTGATTTCTTTGGGTCCTGAGATATGTTGTACTCAGGTGAAATATCACGAGATGTATTTGAATTTATCATTGGATTTGCCCAAGAAGTTTACACTAGAAGAAAAGATTACACAACAGCAAATAAAGACACTGGATTAGAGCTGTCCTTGGGTAATCATGATTGATATTGCATTATTGATGTTTTTGAGATTTGAGTTAATTATTTTGTCATTTACATTTATGCATTTAGCAAAGTTTTATCTAGAGTCACATTGCTTTCAATGTATATTACACTACTGTTCAAAAGCATGGGGTTGCTAAAATTTTATGCTCACCAAGGCTGCATTTATTTGATCAAAAATACAGTATAAATGGTTATATCGTGAAATATTATTACAGTTAAAATGCCCCTATTATGAATTTTTGAAAATTACCTTTCATGCAGTGTGTAACACAGCTCTAAGTGAATGAAAACATCCTGCAAAGTTTTAAATCTAAAAGTGCACCGTGTATAAAGTTATTGTCTTTCAAAAGAAAGAGTCGACTCCGAGTCATGAAAACGAGTCGTTTTTAAAACGAATCTTAAAGGGGTCATATGATGCGATTTCATTTTTTCCTTTCTCTTTGGAGTGTTACAAGCTCTTGGTGCATAAAGAAGATCTGTAAATTTGCAAAGACTAAAGTCTCAAATCCAAAGAGATATTCTTTATAAAAGTTAAGAGTCAGCCACACCTAGCTAAAACGGCTCGTTCTAACAAAAGGCGGGGCATAGAGGAGAAACAATAATGTACAGTATGTGGAAAATAATGTGTTTTTTTAACTTTAAACCGCATAAACACATTTCATTACACCAAATACACAAAATAATGTTCTTTTTAGCAACATCATATGACCCCTTTAAGCTGTTTCAAGTTGACGCCAACATGAAATATTAGCATATTTAAGCCCGCCCACTTGTTGCGCGCGCAGACCCGGGAAAACTTGACCCTCCCCTCCCTCAAACACCGTAGCGGATTCCTGTGGAGTAGACGCTGTGCTCTGCACTGTGAGAGTACAGTTAGGGTATGTCTAAAAACTCCCAACTCATTTTCTCCTCCAACTTCAAAATCATCCTACATTGCTCCAGAAGCACCGACCCAGTGTTTACAAAGTGAACATGCAAGGAGGGTCAAACACCCTTTACAAAAAAAAAAAAAAAGGAAAACAACTATGTAGGACAATTTTGAAGTTGTACGAGAAAAGTGTTGGGAGTTTTTAGACATACCCTGTCTTGAACCGTTGTACACCGACAGAGTGCGCATGTACCTCGCAGAGCTAGACAAGACGAGCATTTGTGGTTAAAAAGTGTATAAACATTATTTTTAAGAAAATGACCGATCGTTTCGCTAGATAAGACCCGTATTCCTCGGCTGGGATCGTGTAGAGCCCTTTGAAGCTGCATTTTTAACCTTCAATCCGTTGAGCACCACTGAAGTCCACTAATATATGGAGAAAAATGAATCGTTGAGCGAACCGTTTGGGAGTCGTTGAGCAAAAAAATGAAAAAAATAAATGCATATTATAAGACAATGAAAGTGTTTTTTGTTTTTTTTACCTTGCATGCATGTCAACCTGTTGTTGGGGACTCCCAAAACCAAAAGATGAACCTTTCATAAGCCATAATAGGGGCACTTTAAATTGCTTTCTATGTGAATATATGTTATAAAGTAATTTCTGTGATCAAAGCTGAATTTTCAGCATCATTACTCCAGTCTTCAGTGTCACATGATCCTTCAGAAATCACTCTAATATACTGATTTGCTACTCAAGAACATTTCTGATTATCAATATTGAAAAATTGTGCTGCTTCATGTTTTTGTTGAAAGTTTGATCATTTTCTTTGAACAGTAAGCTCAAAAGAACAGAATTTCTTTTAAATAGAAATCTAGCATTATAAATGCCTTTACTGTCACTTTTGACTAATTAAATGCATACTTGCTATATAAAAGCATTTTATTTCTTTAAAAAATCTTACTGATTCCAAACTTCTGGGATTAAAACCCATTACCTTGGCATCACTAACACCAAGCTTTACTGTTTGAGCTACAGGAATATATCGTTTGACTTGAAGTAAATGCTGTATTAAAATTGTCCATCTTTATTGCAAACAACAATGCAACATTCAGGACAAATGGAACGGACCTTGTGATGTTAAAAACTTTATTTTTTTTCTCTTGTAAACACATGACCTCTCAAAACGGTTACAGGCAAAAGACAGAATAAAGAAAACGTATCAAATAAGACATTTCCAGATAAAATAAAAGCAGCAAGAGGCAAAAGTAAATTCATCTCTGGTGACTATTTTTGTGGTTCATGCGCTTCAAAGAGTTAGAAAACAGTGCCGCCAAATGTTATTGCTCTATAAACTTCAAATCCCATTGTGAAAGACTACAAAATCTGTTACAGTGAATGTGATTGTGACAATAGTACAATTCCAGTTTTCCACTTTGGAAAAAGCTGTGGGTTTTGGAGCTCTATTTATTCAATGCAAAAAATATGTCGTAAAAACAGGCTTCAGTTGCTTTACACAATATAGTTTCTTATTTTCTTTCCTTTTGATTTTGTGATGAAATGTGACCAAAAGTAGTAAGTTTTACTAAGATGCACCCATAAATTGTTCCAACTCCGTGTTTAAAGAAGCTCTAAACATTCAGGACCATTTAAAGTGGAAGTCCATCAACAAAATGTGACCTTCCGCAATCACGTTTCAGAGCTTCCCTAAGCACTGCAAGACATCTGAACATGTGATATTACAATCACGGGTGTGTCAGAGCATCAGGAATGCCAGAATACTGCTTAGCAATGCAACTACATTCAATTACGGTAATGTGATACTCATGCGGTATTCACTTAGTAGTGTGCATCACAGGCAGTGTGGAATGTGACAATCCAGATTCACACCTAGAATTCCAATCAGTTACTGGGCTGAGAGTTCTGCACGAGGGGGCGTGTCTTTGAAGCTGTGTGTTCCGGTGGGTGTGGTCAGCGGGTGCGGTGGGCGTGGCTCAGGCCTGCAGGTACTCCGGCTGTACCCGCGCGACCTTGCGAAACTCTTTGGCGTGTGTGCGTGGACACTGCATCTCACACCAGCTGATGGGCACCATCTGAGCGCCTGCGGGAAGAGATTTCAGACCGTGATGAACAATGAACATTTTGGGTTAACTATTCATAAATACAAATGTCCTAACTTTCAGGTTATCCAAGGCGTAGATGAGTTTCTTCATGGGAACAGATTTGGAGAAATGTAGCATTACATCACTTGCTCACCAGTGGATCCTCTGCAGTGAATGGGTGCCGTCAGAATGAGAGTCCAAACAGCTGATAAAAACATCACAATAATCCACACACCACTCCAGTCCAACAGTTAACATCTTGAGAAGTCAAACGCTGCATGTTTGTAAGAAACAAATCCATCATTAAAGAGTTTTTACTTTAAACCATTTACTTCCAGCTAAAATATGAGTCCTCTATCCATAATATTGCTTACTGCAGTGAAAAAAAGTCATCTTGCCTGAATCAGGAGAAAAATATGCACAGATCAAGCACTGTTTATGGTCCAAAACAGCTCTAAACAAATATGTCAGTGGATTTTGATATGAGAGGACAACAGGGGATGGACTTCAATGGAGTAAGCGTTATTATGGATTATGGAAACATTTTTTACCAGAAGCAACGGTTTAAAGTTAAAACGCATTAACGACGGATTTGTTTCTTACAAACACGCAGCTTTTGGCTTCACCAGACATTAACTGATGGACTGGAGTGGTGTGGATTACTGTGATGTTTTTATCAGCTGTTTGGACTCTTATTCTGACGGCACCCATTCACTGCAGAGCATCCATTGCTGAACAAGTGACGTAATGCTACATTTCTCCAAATCTGTTCCCATGACGAAACAAACTCATCTACATCTTGGATGGCCTGAGGGCGAGTACATTTTTCAAATATTTATTTTGGGTGAACAATTCCTTTTCCAATTCCAAGTGCATGCTATTTGAACGCTCCCTCACCCGCCTCGCTGTGGGCCACAACTACGCCCAACTCGTTCTCTGCTGTGGTCAGCAGGTAGTTCGACTGCACGTCGCCCAAAGAGATCTGACATCCGAGGTCAAGGGTCATGAGCAACACATCCATGACAAAAGGAAAACTGCTTTTCATAGCGCATAAAGGATACCACTTTTGCAAGGACAATGTCGCCTGGCCTGAAGCTTTTGTACGTCTCCACCTGAAAAGAGCAATTCAATACATGACATTTTAACCCCCCTGCACACTTTTTGAAAAAGGGTTACATATTGGATGTTTGCAGATATTTCTGTACAATTTTTTATAGCATTATCATCTTTCCCATGCACTTTTTTTTTTTTAAATCACAAAACAAAAAAATTCCCATGAGCTCACCTTGTCTTTCTCTGTCGCTCTCACGTCTTCTCTTCTGGAGAAATCCAAACCAAACAGTGTTTAACAGATTAGACTGAATATTTTACTTCTATTACTGATAATAAAATATCCAACAGAACCTGCTTTTAAAATATAAACTTAACTTAGTTATTTGAGACATTTCATGGATATTAAACTCAAGCATTATGTAAATACATATGCATATCTCATTATTTATACAGCTGTATATAGAGAAATCAATGCACAAATCTGTACATAAATCTTCTGTTCCAGATTCATACACATTATTATTATTATTTATTGTTAAGTCTTACTGTTTAAATGTTTTGTGTTCTCATGTCAGGTATGTATGCATGTACCAATGCTACATTTCTCCAAATCTGTTCCCATGACGAAACAAACTCATCTACATCTTGGATGGCCTGAGGGCGAGTACATTTTTCAAATATTTATTTTGGGTGAACAATTCCTTTTCCAATTCCAAGTGCATGCTATTTGAACGCTCCCTCACCCGCCTCGCTGTGGGCCACAACTACGCCCAACTCGTTCTCTGCTGTGGTCAGCAGGTAGTTCGACTGCACGTCGCCCAAAGAGATCTGACATCCGAGGTCAAGGGTCATGAGCAACACATCCATGACAAAAGGAAAACTGCTTTTCATAGCGCATAAAGGATACCACTTTTGCAAGGACAATGTCGCCTGGCCTGAAGCTTTTGTACGTCTCCACCTGAAAAGAGCAATTCAATACATGACATTTTAACCCCCCTGCACACTTTTTGAAAAAGGGTTACATATTGGATGTTTGCAGATATTTCTGTACAATTTTTGATAGCATTATCATCTTTCCCATGCACTTTTTTTTTTTTTTAAATCACAAAACAAAAAAATTCCCTTGAGCTCACCTTGTCTTTCTCTGTCGCTCTCACGTCTTCTCTTCTGGAGAAATCCAAACCAAACAGTGTTTAACAGATTAGACTGAATATTTTACTTCTATTACTGATAATAAAATATCCAACAGAACCTGCTTTTAAAATATAAACTTAACTTAGTTATTTGAGACATTTCATGGATATTAAACTCAAGCATTATGTAAATACATATGCATATCTCATTATTTATACAGCTGTATATAGAGAAATCAATGCACAAATCTGTACATAAATCTTCTGTTCCAGATTCATACACATTATTATTATTATTTATTGTTAAGTCTTACTGTTTAAATGTTTTGTGTTCTCATGTCAGGTATGTATGCATGTACCAAGTAGTGGTCGACCGATATATCGGCCGATATTTTGGCATTTTGCAAATATCGGCATTGGCCGATAAGTTTTTCTGCTTGGCCGATGTGTTCGAGGCGGGACTTTTATTTTGACGGCGCTGAGAACGGCAGTGCCTGAGCACACAGTGCTCACATTCTCCCTCTTGTTTACGGTCGTTGTTAACAGTTCTCTGTCTAATACGGATAGAAGTCTGTCTAATAATGAGATAGAACGGTTAAACAAAGTAATGAATGTATACAAAAAGTATTATAACGATTGCTTTTTATATTATTAGTAATAGAAAGGCAAACATTATAATACTTTCTTGTTTGCCGTCAGCATTAAGCAAATACGCATTTATATCATTTAAACAAATCTTTGAATGACTAATGAACATTTAATTTCACAAACCTTGCAGACTTAGTCGAATCCAGTTGTGAGATCTTGTGAAGTGTGTAT